CTCCCTTCCTTCCCCCCCCCTTTCCCCCCCCAGCCTTTTATCCCCCCTACCGTTTCTGCACCAAAAAAATAGAGAACAAAACCTTCTTTCACCCCGGTTTTTATCCTCTTTTTTTTTTCCGAATAGATCAATCAATCAACATTGATTGATTGATTGATTGATTGATTGATTGATTGACTGATTCATCGACCAAAGGAAAAAAAGAAAAAAAATCCCTCCTCAACCCCACCCCGTGTTAGGCCCCCTCCCCGCGGACCCCGCTCTTCCCCCGCCCCTCCCCCTTCACAGCCCCTGTCACTCTTTCCCCTTCCTTTCCCCGCACCCGGCCGCTTTCGCCCGCTCGTTCCACTATTCACCAGATCTCCAAATGAGAAGGAATGTTCCCCAGAACATGGCCAGATACACTACCATCTCTTTTATCGTTTGCGCCTGTGCTAAGTAGTGGACCCAGCCCCACAAAGACAGACGGAGAGTTCCAAAGAAAAAAAAAGGCACACACACACACACACACACACACAGAGAGAGAGAGAGAGAGAGAGAGAGAGAGAGAGAGAGAGAGAGAGAGAGAGAGAGAGAGAGAGAGAGAGAGAGACCGCGCCCAAGTCGAAGTGAGTGCAAGTGGTCTCCCTGCCGCTCCTGACTGGCGCGCCATTGCGCGCCACTGCGAACAACTCACTCACCAAAACTTGTGAAATGAAATGGAAGAAAAATGAGAATGTACCTTTTCGATTTATGGGGGTCATCCTTGCGCAGGGGCCATGCTAATTAATCTTCATTCTCTGTACCCTTACAGTACAAATTTAACGGCCAATACAAATTTAACGGATGTTTGATGTCCCGAAGGACTGAGAAGAATGGACCTTTTTCTCAGTCACATCAGCGTGGCAACATACACGCGCCTCGGGTCTCTTTCTCTTTGAGTAGTCGAGATGCGGCGGACAAAAGGTGTCTCTTTGGGTCTGTAGCCGCACGGCACACGAAACGAAAGCGAAAGGAGTGCATCTGCCCACGAAAGGTGGCAAAATACACTCGTTACTATAGATAGCAACCCGATGAACCTGGCCATTTTCTGCCGGAAGATGCACTCGGGTTGTTATCGATGCGTGTGGCGACGCCCTGTTTGGGTTGTCGCCACCAAGGGCCTCCCTCCACTCCTCTCGAAATGTGCAAATGCAAAACGAGAGTGAATCTTCCCCTATAAGACGGAAATGTACATCGCCATTTTTTTTATTTATTTATTATTATTTATTTATTTTTAAAGCTATATTCTTCTCTCATCTATCTTTCTCGCTAGTACTCATCTATCTCATCTATCTCATCCTCTCGCTAGTATATGTATAGTACGGGGGAACACCAACCAACCCGGATCTCTCCCCAGCCCACGGGGTAGGTTGGCACCACAGCAGTGGTGCGAGAGCAAGGCTGTACCAGTCCCTCATCACGGTGACGAGGGGTGGGCAGGCATTGCCGATGGGGGAAATCGACGGTGCTAGCGCCGAGCAATGGCCAGTCACTACGGGCCTAGCTCAGTTGGTAAGGCACAAAGTTGCATTCAGGAGGTCGTGGGTTCAATCCCCAGTGGCCTCACGACGTGCCTGGGCAAGCTTGGTGTTCTACCAGCTAGAGATAACGTTGGCCCCCCAAGCCAGCATTGGCAGGACCTTGGTTGATATTGTTGGTTGCTATGCAGCGACAATATTGGCCATTAGACACGGCCATGATTTTTGTCTTTTGTGCATTTCCAGAGTAGTGGAGCGACGGCCACAAGTTCGAACGGGCCCGCACTCCCCTCCCCTACTTTAGGTGAGAATGGGCATAGCCACATACAAAATGAGAATGAACTTCCTGCTAGAACATGGCCAGATGCACCCGCCACATTTTTGTCTTTTCCACATTTCGAGAGTGGTGTGGCATTGTCCTTCGGGGGCTAGGTCCCACTTGCACGGATTAAGAGATACTGACCATAGATAGCAAAGATCAACGGCCAAAATCTCCTAATTTGCGCAAGTGGGACCTTGCCCCAGGACATCCGTTAACAATTGGAACGATACAGAGAAGATTAGCATGGCCAAAAMAAAAMAAAAAAAAAAAAAAAAAAAAAAGAGTGGTGTGGCGAGGCCCAATGTTCAGAGCGGGGATTGGCTGCATATACATGGTTGCGTTTTGTCGTTTAGTGGAACTTGCCGTTTAGGGACTGCCGTCGTTAGTGTACGGGGGTTAGAGGGCGGAGGGTGTGGTGGTGCATGGTCAAAAAAGTGTGCGGTCGTTGTTGGGCCGCGGACCTCACGTGATCCGTAGTCGGTGGGCAAAGGAGGTCGTTCTGGGTGTGTTTGTCGCACGGGAGGTGGTGTGGGCTTTTGTGGTGGGCTTTCCCTATTTGTTCTCCTGGTGGGCTTTCCCTACTTGTTCACAGCCCGACAGCGGTGTGCGTTTTTATACCCCTGAGTCAATTTGTATTTTGCATCCCCCTGAGTCAATTTTGTATTTTGTATACCCCTGAGTCAATTTCGGCATTCTTCTTTATACCCTCGGTGGTGGTCCGTTCAGGTCCAAAGGGTAATTGGAAGGGTGGTGAATTTCTTTAGGGGGCAATTCATGGGGAACAGGCAGTTGTTGCTTGCAGAGGACCGGTAGCTGCCTGTAGGTGGTGAATTTCTTTAGGGGGCAATTCATGGGGAACAGGCAGTTGTTGCTTGCAGAGGACCGGTAGCTGCCCGTAGGAGGCCATGGTCCATGAGTTGAGAATTTCGAAATAGAAACGGTGTGGGCTCACTTTTCTCGAATAGAAGAGTACGTCGTACATGTTGTATTTGAAAACAACACGTACCTTATATTTTTTTTGCTTAAGGGCCCTTATAAAACAACACGTACCTTTTGTATTGGAATTCGGAAAATAAAAAGCTCGTGTTCGAAAAGAACATTGCCTTGTCTTTTTTTTTCGAGCTTAGTGCCTGCCCTTGTGCTCCCCGCCACACATGCGGCATACTGCAGCTCTCTCTCTCACTCTCTCTCTCTCTCTCTCTCTCTCTCTCTCTCTCTCTCTCTCACACACACACACACACACACACACTTTTACTTTGTTCTTCCCAAAAAGTTCTGCTTCAAACCACTACGGGTGATATGAGTGAGCATCCCCCTATAGTGGACTTACGGCAGAAAGCTCCTGTCTATTAGTGGGGAGCGGCACCTGCTGGAAAACGGGTCCAGCGTCCCATGCACATTGCGAACAAAGCACCAGCCACGACCCCACACACACACTCACACACTCTTAGATTTGTGTATAGCCAACATGACAAAACACAAACACAGCATAACCACTACCTTATGCCTCCCGAACCACATCAACAAACAAACTACGGGCTGCGCACCCGTGCCCTCACGTAAATCATTTTTTTCTGCGGGTGGCGGGAAGGCGGTCGTGAGAAAGGGTTGTGCGGTCTATGGGACTCGCCACACCACTGTCGAAAGGCTGAAAATTTTGATGGCTGTCAGAATAAGGGTCTCTCTGCACTACTCTCTAGTAGTCTCCGACTTCGGAGAGTTTTTATCGCTGCACTAAGGGCATGCTCACGCTAGGGCCTTTTACGGCAAAATAGCAAAACATGATGGTTGGGCCAGTCGCACAAGGCACAGAAAGTAGCAACAGTAGCAAACGGCGTATCTAATGTCAGCCCCCTGGTGAGCCGCGGAAAAGGGCATTTTGCTACCACCTCTGGAGGTGGTAGCAAATTCTCTTTTTCAGTTTGGGATTTCATGAAAAAAAATTTTGGTGCGTCGATCAACTGCTGCTCAGAGCCAGAGGAAACTTGAAACAATTTTTCGTGGACCGAAAGAAAAAAAGAGAAAAAAGTTGAAGGATTTGGGCCTCGTGCTGCGTAACCATGTGAGCAACCATTTCCGCAATTGGCAGCAAGTCCCGCTCGTGTCCTTCTTGATTTGATCCCACTGTGTGACCCGGCGGGGTAGTACTTCACCAAAAGCGGGATTGCAAATTTCTCAGAATTTGCTGCTTTGCGACGGCTGTGCGAGTATGCCCTGGTTATCTGATTCCACCCCGCAAAACCTTCGGATAGCTGTCAAAAACTGCCTTGGAAAAGCACTCTCCGCTCGTGGAGAGTGCCCAGCCTGCAATGGCGGTTTTCCAGATGGACCTCCGCCCGAATCTCCATAATGCTCCAAATTCAGAGAGCCTGAGTGTGCCTGGAGTCTGGGCGGACAAAGTGCAAATCATGTCGTGTCCTCCAGTGCTGTCACCCTGTCTGCTAGTGCACTCACGAATTGGAGTCCGGAGAGTGGATAGTTAGTGCAGCGGTGAACCGAGAATCACGACTTCGGAGAGCTTTTCAGCTCTCCGCGAACTCTCCGATTTTCCGGAGAGTGGAGAGTAGTGCGGCGAGACCCTAAATTCGACAACCACCCTCTCCACAGTTTGCCCCCTTTTGGCCACACAGCACTGTAGAATGGACGAACTTGTGAATGCAAGATGGAAAAAGACGAACGGGCCTGAGGGTACGACAAGCATTAGTCCATCACGACCTCACACCCAGTCACCAAATTTCAAAGAGAAGTCGATGGCACAGCCGAGGACTGTCGCAAGCTTCGAAGTCCATCCCGACCTCACACCCAGTCACCAAATTTCAAAGAGAAGTCGACGGCGCAGCCGAGGACTGTCGAAAGCTTCGGAGTAGCTGGAGTCTGGGTGGGGATTCAACAACAACTTTCTCCACAGGAGGAGGTGTCGAGAAGCATTCTCTCTCTGACAACTTGCGAGTTTTCTTCCCGTCTCCAATTTCGACGGGCCGTGTGGCCAAGAGAAAATTATAGAAAATCGTGTTTTCTACAGTGGTGTGTTTTCTGCATTGGTGTGGCGAGCCTCTTTCGGTGACGCGCGGGTAGTGGGAGGTCATTGCACTTTATAGAGTTTAGAGCACGCGGGCTGTGTGGTCACCGTAGGCCGGTCACCGTTGTCGAAACTGCGCTCTTTTTGCCTGTGGCTTTGTGTGTTGTGTCTGTCCGGAGCTGTGATGTTTTGCTTGTGCAGGAGTTCATGCTTTTCTCTGATGGCGCTCTTTTTGCCTGTGGCTTTGTGTGTTGTGTCTGTCCGGAGCTGTGATGTTTTGCTTGTGCAGGAGCAAATTGTCCCCCCCCCCCCCCCAAAAAAAAAAGGGTTTACTCAGCTGCTATCCGACTTACGGCTTCGGTCACAACTACGATTTTCACCGACCGATCTCGCTCATCTGGCGGCAGTCCATTTGTGAGATGAGTCAGGCGGAACCGCTGGGCTGGTCGAAAGTAGGGGTTGGATAGCTATATAATAGGGCAAGGCATGAGGAATGGCACTATCAGTTGGTGTTGATTTCTTTTCCTTCCTCTTCTTCCTCCTGAAGAGTCTGTTAGCAGCGCAGGCGAATCGTGTAGAGGGTCTGCCGTTGTGCTCTTGGTTTCCTCTATTCTTTGGACTTTGGAGTCGTTTTCAATACTTTTGGCGTGCGTGGAGTGCTGAGTACTGAGTGTATCTTCCTCCTCCGGCCTCAGACTTTCACTGTCGTTGCCGAACAGTCTTTCTCTTCTATGGGCCGGTCACGTCAAACGATGATATCTGAAGGCCGTCTTAGCTTCTTTTGCGAAAAAAACTACGAGACCGTTGTAATGTATCTGGAGTAGTGCGTAGCCCGGATACGTGCAGCGGAGCCCTGAGTTCGGCCTTCAGCAAGGTAATGGGCCTCGCTCCACTACTCTCCACATGAGCAAAACGAAAGCAAATCTTTCGCTAGAAAATGGAAAGATACACTGCCATGATTTCTGTCTTTTGTGCATGTCGAGAGCAGTGGAGCGAGGCCCTATGCAGCAGTACGCTACTAGTATGCCGGGATAGCGTACACGACTTCTGTCTGTTGCCCATTTGGTGGGTCTGACTTCGCTTACGCATGCGCCCGCCCTCCTGGCTGTGCCCCCACGCCCCGCGTGGTATCACTACCGTCAGCCCACAGCATGGCAATATACATCCGCCCCATTTCTTCTGAAGTCCACATGTCCACAAAATAGTAAACATGAATATATGTGGACAATGGACATGAAAATACCTCGGATAATAATAATAATATAATAGTACAAAAAAACTTTTAAAAGTACCTCGGATGCATTCATATTGTCGGCACTTGGAAAAAAGGCCGTATGCTTTGTGAAGTTTGTATAGCATTTTGCTGTTTAGTGGGTCAATCATTTGCCTCGTTCTCCCGTGGACTTAGGAGCGCATTTTTTAGGATACTTGGGATATTGGGACTAGCTGCAAATGAACACCAACTTGAAGTGAAGGTGGGAAACAAGATCGCTTCGGTTCGATTTTGTTGGTTTTTGTTGCTAGATTTGGTTGTGTTTCATTTTTGTTTTTGCGGGGATATATTAAAAAAAAAAAAAAA